GCTGGCATCCGGGAGGTGACGAGGTGTCCACCCTCCCAGGTAGAACAGGGCAGAAGGCCCCGCTGCAAGCTGTTCATCCCATGCGAATGCTGGATTGAATGGGGATGATCTGTAGGAAGCAGAGTTCCCACCACTACCAGCAGCATATCTTACTCCACGAGGGGGCAATAAAGCCTCGTAGACCGGACGGGACCTAAACACCACATGTGGGCGTCCACTGGTTCTCAAAGCTGACCGAGGGTTCACAGAGACGCTGGGAGGTTTCCTCACAGGTCCCAAAGAGCTGAACCAGGGGCCAGGAGACTGAACTTCAGGAGGACTGGACTCATCTGAGCTGGAATCGTAAGTCACAACAAACTTTTTTGGCTCGTACATGGGTACAGAATGCGGAGCTGGAAGGGAAGCTATCGGACTGCTTGGAGACTGGCTTCCAGCATGAGAACCACAATGTTCAGGGGCATCTTCATACGTCAGGGACACCAAGGGAGAGTGAAAAGCTTCAGATTGAAGGTTTGATAATCCAGAAGACTGTCCACCACTTGGGTAGGGATACCTGTAATCTGAGAAACACAGAGTTCAAATTACTAAACAGTTTAAGCACAAGTTTAAAATGATCACTTTAAGGACTACTGAGAATTATTGTACCCCTGTCCTAACCACCACGACACATCCAGGACCGTCCCAGAGAGCAGCACACGGCCGAGCACTGGTTCAATAAGCAGAGTAGAAAAGGGAAGCCAAAAAGAATCACCATGGTAACCAGTAAATGAAGAGGAAAGCCGTGAGCCGAGGAAGGCGGATGTGTTTCACGGTGGACGGTGAGTCTCAGTTAAAGCAGAGAGGGGAGAGTGGAATTTAAATCTGTCCACTTGTTTACCCACTTTCATTTTTTCAAAATTAATATTGAAGCTGAAATCCAACAAATTTCACCTGAATCAGCTGCAGCGTTACAGGTACAGACGGGTGATTAAACACATCCGATACACATCAAACCTGAAAGACTGTTTTGGAGCTGTGACAGGACGTAGACCAGGAAATATAAACGATTCTTTTAGAGTGGAAAAGATGTCGAGGGTCGAACTCAACTCCTTTGTTAGAGCGTTGTGCATTTCCAAATATTGTCTGACAGAATTTAATGATTCTGCATTCAGAACTTTAAAGCCTGAATAATGAGATCATGTCCAGAAAAAATTATTATTGTGTGTGAATGTGTGTGTGAATGGGTGGATGACTGGATATGTAAAGCGCTTTGG